CAATTAGAAAAAAAACAGCACCATGCATGTATGTATAGTTTAATACAAATGACCGAAAACCAATCACAAAGAGTACGTTTTCATTTAAAAACACGAGATGCAGTGGGATGCGGAAAAGCCGCCATAAAGTTTTGAGACATGTTTTTGTAAAAGTTGAGCTTTACATGGCTTTCTAAACATGCGGCTCTCTTGTGCGAGACGCGAGTGCAGCGGTGATAGATGTCCCTCTAGAAAATGTGATAAATATGTGTTCTGTATAAACAAGATCTTCTCCGCATTGATGTTCTCTTTTTCCTGCAATATATTGAATGAACAACGCAGCAGCGCCATCTAGTGGCTTCAGCTGGATAGAATAAGAAAAACATTAAAATGCAACGACACTTGCATCGTCATCGCATCTCGTGCGCCGCTGATGAGGCAGCCTGACGAACACCTAAAATTCAAACGCAACGTTTTTACATTCGAATGTGGATTTTTATTTTAAATTTGACGAATATTCGAAATTCAAGCATTTTTACCCCTCTGGTCCTCTTTGTTTGGGAGTCACACTTGGCTCCTTCACGGTCAAAAGTGACTGAAGCCATGAAATGTAACGTCTTTTTTTTTCAGGAAAATCAATTTAATAAATTTTTGTTCAATAATATTTTTTTTATTATTATTTAGGATTTTGAGGGGATTTTAAGATATTATGCAATGTTTATAGAGGTTTAATTAGCTATCTTTCCCCACAAGAATTAATGTATTTTTATTTAATTATTATTTTTCAATAAATGGATTCCCATTGTTTTTTAGACACTCTTCATTTTATTAGGTTTTGCTTTTAGATATATATTTAGACATTCTAAAAGACTGCTTTATGTCAAGGTTTAGATATTGTTGGTTAGATAAATATCAGGTTTTGCATTATCATTACAATCAAACATTGTGTGTGCATGGGTGTCTATTTTTCACTCTTGATATTTTAGAGAGTCACCTCTTGATTGCTGTGCACTTTTGTTCTGCACAGCGGCTGATTTATAGTTTGAACCACCAAAAGATTCTGGGAGTTGTATTTTTTCGTATTTCCCATTTATTTCCTATTTCGGTCATTTTTGACTGGGAAGGAGCCAAGTGTGACTTTTCTTTTTGACCCTTTAACATATCCGAATCATGTCCATGATTTTTTTTGTGTGTTCACATAGCTAATGCAACAAAAGTCAACAAGTGTCATCTCATTCCGATGAAGCTACGATTTTTAAAATGTCAAAATAAAAAAATTTTTAGAATTTTTGACCGAAGAGGCCCAGAGGGTTAATCATACAGTTCAATCAATATTTTAACATAGGTACATGATTATTGATATGAAGTTTTATGTGTACAGCCAGAGGAGAATAGGTCCCCTGGTGTGTAACCCGACCAGGCGCCTTGTAGTCACTCAACCGGTGCAGTCCTCCTCCGAGACGAGTCCACACACTTTGGTGACGTAACGCGTAGTCCTCTGTGAGAGACACACTGCGCATGCGTCATCACATTCTGATGAAGCTACGAGTTTTAAGATTTCAAAATATCAAAAAATGACAGAAGAGGCCCAGCGTTAATAGCCCTAACAACGAACATCATTTGAAGCGTCACAAAATTCTGAAAATCGTACATTATGGGATTTTTTTTCATTATTGATCATACATTGCACAGAGGTCAGAGTTATTGTACAAATACGATAATTATTGTACATTTGGCAACACTGATTAGAATGATTTCTGAAGATCATGTGACACTGAAGACTGGAGTAATGATGCTGAAAATACAGCTGCACATCACAGAAATACATTACAGTTTAACAGATATTCACATAGAAAACGACTGTTTTATGTTGTAATAATATTTCACAATGTCACTGTTTTTATTGTATTTTTAATCAAAGAGCAGAAGAGACTTTTTTGGCATCAAAAGTCTGAGTCCTTCACGAGCCTCTCTTGTCTGCAGACATGTCTAAGGTGCAGGATGACGAGGTGGGCGACGGGACGACGTCTGTGACGGTGCTGGCAGCGGAGCTGCTGCGGGTACGAGCTCTTCCTCCTCACAGCGTGTGAGTGAGTCGTGAGCCGTGTCTAATGTGTGACGCTTGTGCCTCTCGGAGACTGTGGCTGAAGCTGAGCGTCTGTGTGTGTGTGTGTGTGAGAGAGAGAGTGTGTGTGAGTCTCAGAGACTGGCTGAAGCTGAGCGTGTCACTTCTCCAAGCTGGCGGTGGAGGCCGTGCTCCGACTCAAGGGATCTGGCAACCTGGAGGCCGTCCACGTCATCAAGAAGCTGGGAGGCAGCCTGACCGACTCCTACCTGGACGAAGGTCTGCAGCGCACACACACTCAACGCCAAAACACTCACAACACAGGGTTACAGAAGTGACCATTAGATGACAGAAATGATCATTGAAATGTAAAAATTAATAATTAAATATGCAATACTGGATATTTGTTTTTAATTATGATTGTAGCGCTGATATCACTACCTCCATCAAAAAATATTATTATTATTAGCTTTGGCAATTTAAATATAAAAGTGATCATTCACAATTAAATATACTGTATAGTTAAATGCTTTTTTTAAATTGATTGATTGTGTTCGTAATAAATTTTCCCATAATACCATTATTATTATTAGCAATAATTATTATATTACTGGTATTATTATAATTATTATTAAGTTGTAATTTCATAATAAGAGAAGTTATGCTTTCATATTATTTTCTGTGATTGATTAAATGTGTTGCATGACAAGAGTAGGGGTGCTCCGATTGATCGGCCGATAATCACGTTGGGATGATTGATCGGCGGTCTCTAAAAAACACAGGGTTACAGAAGTGACCATTAGATGACAGAAATGATCATTGAAATGTAAAAATTACCATGAAATCATTATAATGCTGAAGGTGAGGTACTTAATTCTTGCCAGTGTTTAACCATTCAGCTCTCGCGTGCTCTCCTGGAGACTGAGCTCATGCGCACTCGCAGCGCACACACATAACGCCAGGTTCACATTACTCCGTTTGCAGTGCGTATGCGGTGCGTATTTTTCCGCACTCATGTTAACGGATTAAAGCGTTCACTGCACACGGCTGCGGTCCGGCAGTGCGTTCAGGAGCGGTGCGTCTGCAGCAGAGCAGAGATCGTATCCACACCGAGTCTATTGCTGCGCTGCGCTGAATTAAAGTAACAGCGCATTGTTTGCAGTAAATATGAACATGGATTGACACGAAAATGTAGTTAAGAGGAGAATTACCCACATTTTCAGAAATGAAATTCAGGCCCTGAATAAATGTCTAAAAATCCTGATTGGAGTATCACGATAAACGGTTATAAATGATAAAAAAGGCTTTAAAAAAATCGGTATCGGCAGATACTGCTGTCTGTGATCGGCCATCGGCCTCAAAAACCCTGATCGGAGCACCCCTAGACAAAAGTAAAATGAAATAATTAGCAATTATATATGCAAAACTAGGTATTTAATTGTTTTTAATGATGATAACGGTACTGATTGTTGTTCCTGTAATAATTATTACTTTTAGTAGTAGCAGTCCTGTAATATAATAATAATAATAATAATAATTATTATTATTATTTTATTATTATTACAATAAAATTTGAATTAAAAGATTATCAGTTAGTTTTTTTGTTAGGCTTTCTTTTTTTAGTTTTTTAAAAAAAGTTTTATTATTATTGTTTTATTTAGACAAAATAGTAAAACAATGTTCATCTGATCAGTATTGGCCAGAATTGTAATATTTTGATAAATAAGGGTGTTTTAATCTTCCTATAATTATGATTCAGCTCACTGAATATAAATTGTATCTGTTTATTATTATTATATATAGAATAATATATACTAATCTTATTATATTTTGTTCGTATTACATTAGAGACATTATTATTAGATATAAAGTATCAGAAACTGACACTGAAAACAAGCATGTAGTTTTTCAGATTGATTAACAGCGTGTTGATGAGTCAGTCAGTGATGCTAGCGAACGTTAGCGCTCACACGTGTGTCTGTGTGTCTCTTCCTGCTCCTCACAGGCTTCCTGCTGGACAAGAGGATCGGCGGGTCATGTGGCGTGTGCGGGGTAATGTGACGCGTGTTGTTCTTCCTCAGGCAGCTGATCTATAACTACCCAGAGCAGCTGTTTGCGGCCGCCGGTGTGATGGCCATCGAGCACGCTGATTTTGTGGGAGTCGAGCGCTTGGCTCTCGTCACAGGTACACAAACACTGTCTAGTGCACACTCTGAGAGCTGTTTCCCAGCATGCTCTGCTGTTACCTCCATCATCAGCTGTGTGTGACTTCACATTAAGCCTTGGCATGGCCTTGACTCAGTCCTTCACTTATTGTATTGTATTCACACAATGTATTATTCTCATCAGAGCTCTTAATTAAATGTGTATATGTGATATTTGCCCCTTTAAGTTGATTTGCAAGACATCTTTGCCTATATAAAGGGCAGTTTTCCCTAACCTTATTAAAAGCATACATTGTCTTTCATATTAAAGTTGTTAAAATAATAAGACGCTATACATCTGTTAACAATTCAATTAAAATCGATCTTTCCACTGCACAAGCAGCTGAAGCAGCATTTAGATGCATTTACACTACAAAATTACAAGTGCATAAATAATGTCATGGGCTTAGTGTTTTTTTAAATATACAAATAATATGAAATATTGGGGGAAAGATGCAATGATAGGCTACTTTTAAATATGAAAGTAAACCACCAGTAGATGGCAGCAAGTGCCTGTCTTAATGAGTGAGTCATTGAGTCGTTCAGACAGGAATGAAGCAAGTGCTGTCTTAATGAACGGACCACTGAATCATTGACTCAAACGATCAGTCCTTCACTTGTCGGAGTAAAAAAACCTTGCTGTGTAAATGTGATTTATTCTGAAGCATCTATTATTCTCATCAGAGCTCTTAATTAAATGAGTGTATATGTGATATTTGCCCCTTTAAGTTGATTTGCAAGACATCTTTGCCTATATAAAGGGCAGTTTTTCCCTAACCTTATTAAAAACATACATTGTCTTTCATATTAAAGTTAAGTTAAAATAATTAGTCACTATACATCTGTTAACAATCAAATAAATTAAAATCAATCTTCCCACTGCAGAAGCAGCATTTAGATGCATTTACACAGATAGTTTAATGCAGCTGAAATGTAGCATGAATGCATTTACACTGCAAAATTACAACTGCATAAATAATGTGATGGGCTTAGTGTTTTTTTAAATATACAAATAATATGAAATGTTGGGGGAAAGATGCAATGATAGGCTACTTTTAAATATGAAAGTAAACCACCAGTAGATGGCAGCAAGTGCCTGTCTTAATGAGTGAGTCATTGAGTCGTTCAGACAGGAATGAAGCAAGTGCTGTCTTAATGAACGGACCACTGAATCATTGACTCAAACGCAAATCATTCAGTAAGGAAACACTGCTGTGTGTTGCTCAGATGCAGCTGTGATCTCTGTTTGGAACTATTTTCGTAACAAAATAGAGCAAAAACAGTCAAATATTGACACTATTAACTATTTGTTTTTTTTAAACTGTTGTTTAAAATCAGTGTCAAATTTGCAATCGTACCGAAAACTGCACTCTAGTTCGTGTCATGTTGCTTAACTAGTCTATATCATGTTACAAATATAAAAACGACCTTTTTGCCGCAGTATGTTTCTTCTGTGTGCAGTTGTGTTTCTCCACGAGATTCACTCACACACAGCCAGGCTGCATGAGCCTCAACTGCTGTGACATTGTTACTGTCAGTACGTTACCTGTTATCAGTTGCCGTTTACACCAAATATAATACGATCAGAGTCGTTCCCACCAAAATTTCAGTGCTGCTTTAGGTAGATTTTTAAAATTAGGCTAGTTGTCCTGAAGTAAAATTCTCCTTCACTTGACCACTTCAGGAAATCCACTTGTTCCTGACTGACAAAAGCTCTCAGAATTGAGTTTAAATATAAGAACTATGGTGTAAACATGCAGCAGAAATGTGTGTGTCAGACTGTGTGTGTGTGTGTGTGCTCAGGCGGAGAGATCTCCTCGACCTTTGACCACCCTGAGCTGGTGAAGCTCGGCCGCTGTAAGCTGACCACGAGATTCACTCACACACAGCCAGGCTGCACGAGCCTCACCTGCTGTGTCAGTACGTTATCTGTTGCCGTTTATACCAAATATAATACGATCAGAGTCGTTCCCACCAAAATTTCAGTGCTGCTTTAGGTAGATTTTTTAAATTAGGCTAGTTGTCCAGTCAGGCCAGTAAAATTCTCCTTCACTTGACCACTTCAGGAAATCCACTTGTCCCTGACTGACAAAAGCTCACAGAATTGAGTTTCAAAATAAGAACTATGGTGTAAACATGCAGCAGAAATGTGTGTGTGTCAGACTGTTTGATGGTTCTGTTGGTGTGTGTGTGTGTGTGTGTGTGTGTGTGTGGCTCAGGCGGAGAGATCTGCAGGAGGTTGAAGAGGGGCACGTCAGAAGCAGAGGGGCGGGGTTAATTAATGTCTCTGTCTCTCACAGCAGATGCTGATATTTTCTCTCTGGGTGGTGGGAATAATGTGTGTGTGTTCATAGGTGCCTGTGCATGTGTGTTCTGCTTCAGATGTGAGTAATTGCATTGAAGTCCACAGGGAGAAACACACAGACTCAGATTGATATACAATCAAGAGAGCATGTCAGATTAGGAAGAACTAGCCTCGACCTTTGACCACCCTGAGCTGGTGAAGCTCGGCCGCTGTAAGCTGATCGAGGAGGTCATGATCGGAGAGGACACGCTCATACACTTCTCTGGAGTGGACATGGGTGAGTGCTGCCCAAACAAACCTGAGGGCACTTTGATTCATTTATTGTTTTAAACATGCTCCAGGTTTTCTGTGTTTGTTTGTAGAGCTGCACGATTTGGCAAAAAATGCTGCGATTTATATCTCAGCATAACTATATAATAACCTTGTTGATGATAGTAATAATAATATTTTATTATTAATTTATATATTTTGTTTATATTATTATATATATTTTTTTATATTATTATTATTATTAGCCTAAAAAATACAAATATTAAACAAAATAGTATTATTTAATTTTAGTGCTGTTAAATGATTAATCGCGTCCAAAATAAAAGTAAGTAGCATTCTATTGAAGGCAAAATATTTGTTCTTTTATTTGGATTTTTTATATATATTTTTTTATATTATTATTATTAGCCTAAAAAATACAAATATTAAACAAAATAGTATTATTTAATTTTAGTGCTGTTAAATGATTAATCGCGTCCAAAATAAAAGTTTGTTTATATTTTATATGTAATGTGTACTGTGTATATTTTTTAATGTATATATAAATACAAACACACACAGTATATATTTTGAAAATATTTACGTTTATACATTTATATATTAATATTCTTATTTTATATTATATATAAATATATTTAATATATAAACATAACATATTTTTCTTAAATATATACATGCATGTGTGTGTATTTATATGTACATAAATATACACAGTATACGCATATATTATGTAAACAAACTTTTTTGAAAGCGATTAATCGTTTGACAGCACTATTTAATTTATATATAATTAATTTTTTACTGCAAAATAGCATATTTAAGAATTATATATTTTTCTTTACGTTAAAACTAAAATTGATATTATTTCAATTAATAATATTAATACTATTACAGTTTTTCTTAATAGTTTCAATTAGATTGTTTCACTGTTTTCTCTTTAATTTTAGTTAAAGTTTTCGTAATTGTTGATTTTTTTGTCTTTTTTTTTTATATATAATAGTAGTTAATGTTTAGTTAGTTCTTAGAGCTCAACAAAACTAAATGCTGCATTTGCAAGTAGCTGAATTGAGTTATTTTTTGTTTCAGTTGACAATGATTTTAAGTAACAAAAATGTTTTATTTTGGGTTAGCAGCAGCAAACCTGGTTTGGCATGTTGCGTTTCTAAATGCATGTGAAAAGCAGTGTGTCTCCTGTGAACCGCAGGTGAGGCGTGCACCATCGTCCTGCGCGGGGCGACGCAGCAGATCCTGGACGAGGCCGAGCGCTCGCTGCACGACGCTCTGTGTGTGCTGGCGCAGACCGTCAAAGAGACGCGCACCGTGTTCGGCGGAGGTGAGGACGCCAGCGTGTGTCTGTGTCTGTGTTCATTTCAAAAATATTCGGCATAATCTACGTCAACAACAGATGAAAACAAGATGAGACGATAACGAAATAGAAACTCTTTTTGAGTGACAAAAATCTATTGACATTTTTGGTCCACGAATATACACTATTTTTCCTATTTAATTCTGTAAAGCTGCTTTGACACGATCTGCATGGTTAAAAGCGCTACATAAATAAAGCTGAACAAATGAAAACGAGAACGCGATCCACTCACAACCAATCTCCTGCACACACTTCATCTATAACGGCTTGTGATATTTAATCAGCTAAAACTAGACTAAGACTAAAACAGTTCAGGTGACTAAAAGTACATGCTATTTTAGTCCAAAGACTATGACTTAAATGAAAGCTTGCTGTCAGAATTACCACTGGTGTGTGTTTCAGGCTGCTCGGAGATGCTGATGGCTAAAGCCGTGTCCGATCTGGCCAACCACACGCCAGGAAAAGAGGCTGTGGCCATGGAGTCCTTCGCTAAAGCCCTGAGGATGGTACGTCACACACACCCATACGTCCACTGACACTGTGGACATTAAGAGACATCATTGCCCCTTCCCTAAGTTGATTTCCAGGGGCACTTTTATCTTTATGAAGGCAGTTTTTTTCTTATTAAATGTGCGTCATCTTTTAGTCATTTGCACTGCAATTGCAATTTCATAATGCATAACTAATTGCAGAAGATATGAACTCACCAACAGGTGTAAGCAGTTAATCATTCATTCAGTTGATTCATTCAGAAGCATGAATTCATTCAGTGTCTGAAATCACATACTGTCTTGAGTAGGTACTTATTTTGAATGAGTAATTATCTTCACAACTACTAAAAACGATGTTAGTAAAGTTATAGTAAAGTGTCCTTCATGCCAGATGTGGTAGGTAGGGCCCTATGAAATCAGTTTTATTTTTTCCTAAATTCCGTTTTTTCCGTTTTAATTTTTCTGGATTCCGTTTTTTTTTTTTTCTGTTTAATTTTTCTGGGCTCCTTTTTAATTGTTAAATTAAATTGTATTCATCAAAAAGCATGTCTAATTGATTAAAATCATGAAACTTATACAATTTCACATCAATTTATTAAAAGTTTAACAAAAAAAATTTCTTTCTCACCATATGTTTTACAGTTACCAAATTCTGTGTTTTAGCATGTCTAATTACTTAAATGCATAAAAACAACTTTATAAGGCTATTTTAAGAATAAATTTTGGTAAAATGTTATTTTTTTTCCCTCAGAAATTGTGTATTTAATTTTTTCTGGTTATCAAATGAAGACATAAAACAATAATTTTTTTTATCTTTTAATTATTGAAAATTAAACAATTTTTTGGCAAACAAAAGGAATTTACTATTAAAATTAAACCATGAAAGAAATGTGATTATTCCTTTAAAAAAATAAAGTTTTTATAACTTTAAAGTAGTAGTAGTATTACGTACATTCTACTGAACAATTGTAATGTATTTCTGGCACAATGTCTTCAAGTTAAACCAAACTTATATTTTGAATTTCTGTGTGTGTTTGATATGACGCTAGTTTTACTCAAATCAAACGGTCAAATGACTCTCAGAGCAGTTCTGGAGATGTTGTTCATGTATTTATGTCCATTTAGAGAGACGGCAGACGCTAATATCACCGCATAAGCACCGCACGCTTCAGTACGAGCAGTAAACAAAACCGGGGGACTTTTTGCCTACTCTTTTATGACTACTGTGAATTCCCTGTGAATAACCTTTTTCACCTACTATATACTGTGGCAGTATGCGGTTTCAGACGCAGCCACAGTTCCTAGTGAGCGAGTCATTGAATTATTCACTCAACCAGTTCATTCAGAAAGCAGATTGAGCGAGGAATGAAGCAAGTGACAGTCTTGCAAACGTGTCGTTGACTTGTTCACTCAACCAGTTTGTTCAAAATGTGTGTTTTTCAGTTACAAGACACCACTTTGTTGCTTGGTTCTGCTCGTTCAGAGCTATTTTCATCAAAAAAAGAGCAAGCATTGACAGTTTTGTCCATTTTAAGTTACTTGAAAAACATCTTGTTTAACTGTTGTTTAAAATGATCACATTTGCAATTGTGCTGATATTCGGAAAAAATGCAACTGTTGCTTATGCATATATCATGTGACATAGATGTAAGACAAAAAAACAGAATAGATCAAATATACCTGATGCAGGGCTATTTTGCTGCCGTATCTTGAGTGTTGGCGGCAGTTTAGCCCATGTGTTTTGAGTGAATACGGATTGATGCAGGTCTGATTATCGGTCGTGTAATTGCACTATGTGAGCATCTTGTAGTTGCTTTGGATGAAAACAAGGCAGCAGGACAATATGTGAATCTGTGCATGACGGTCGTAGAGGAAGAAGCCTGTAATAAAGACTGAATCTGAGAGACCAAATGATCTCAGGAACAAAGCACATTTTATTAGTATTGTCAGTGTCTCGTTTTCCAGTACAAATATCTACACATCTATATATTTATCTTGCAAGAAAAATAGCTTAAGATGTTGGCTCTCATTTAAAATGCATCAAAATAAGTTTTCATTTAAAACAAGAACAAATGACTGTAATATTACAGCAGAGCTATTTTCACTTGTGCACACGTGTCGTGAGATCTGATTTCTTAATCTCGCGTCTGTTTGCTGAATGTTAAATCCACACATGACCTGGTCAAAGTGACCCCGACAGCTCTGAATTCAGCAGTTCTTTTTCAATACAAATCTGTATATATGGTGTTTTATTCTACGCTATAGTTATTTATTTATACATTTATACTAGGGATGGGAATCTTTTGGTACCTCATGATTCAATTCATATCAATTCTTGGGGTCACGGTAGACAGTTAGGACTTAAAACCTACTCCATCAAAACCTTGAAATTAATTTTGTTTTTCTTGCAATTTAGTAAACTCATTATTATCAAACAAATGCCATTTAAACTGACTGCAGCCATTAAACATGAGAGTCTTATTGGCAAGGCAGCCCTGAGACACGAAGAGCAAAGTTGGCACACCACAACTCCAGATATACAACTCTGTCATTATTGAATGTCTTGCCCATTGGCCTCATCCAGGACGGCGACGAGTGTGCTTATAGAAGTAAGAGCTGGCTGTCTGGTGCAGTCTCAACAACCTGGAGCTGAACACGCTCAAAACTGTGGAGATGACCGTGGACTTCAGGAGAAACCCCCCTGCACTCCCCCCACTCACCATCATGGACAGCACTGTGACTGCAGTGGAGTCATTCAGGTTCCTGGGCACCACAATCTCTCAGGACCTGAAGTGGGACACTCACATAGACTCCATTGTGAAAAAGGCCCAGCAGAGGTTGTACTTCCTTCGCCAGCTGAGGAAGTTCAACCTGCCACAGGAGCTGCTGAAACAGTTCTACTCCACCATCATAGAATCCATCCTCTGCACTTCAATAACTGTCTGGTTCAGCTCAGCTACCAAATCTGACCTCAGAAGACTGCAGAGGGTAGTCCGGACTGCTGAGCGAATCATTGGTACAACCCTCCCTTCTCTCCAAGAACTGTACTCATCCAGAGTGAGCAAAAGGGCTGGCAAAATCACTCTGGACCCCTCACATCCAGCACACTCCCTCTTTGAACTGTTGCCATCTGGTCGACGCTACAGAGCACTGAGCACCAGAACGACCAGACACAGGAACAGTTTCTTCCCTCAGGCAATCCATCTCATGAACACTTGACAATAACTGTGGAACACACACTATTTATACACTCATACACTTATTTATCTAACACACATACTCAGACTACACCTCAAATTTGCACATAATATACAGTACCTGTACATACAAAAACTGTCTATTGTAATATACCTGCACATACAACTGTCAATTTATATATTTTTATTCCTTATTTACTTGTTCTATTTTTTATTATCTGTGTTTTTTGTTCTGTCACTGTCATTCTGTTACACTGTGGAAGCTTCTGTCACGAAAACAAATTCCTCGTATGTGTAAACATACCTGGCAATAAAGCTCATTCTGAAAAGGTGATCAATCTGTTTGTAATGCTAATGAAAAAAGCCATCTGGGAAAGAAGAGTGATCGCAAAACAAAACAAAACAAAATTATACTTGATGTGTGGTGTTTGTTTAAAAGGCGTTGGGAAATGAATGTGACCTCAGAAGACTACAGAGGGTAGTCTGGACTGCTGAGCGAATCATTGGTACAACCCTCCCTTCTCTCCAAGAACTGTACTCATCCAGAGTGAGCAAAAGGGCTGGCAGAATCACTCTGGACCCCTCACATCCAGCACACTCCCTCTTTGAACTGTTGCCATCTGGTCGACGCTACAGAGCACTGAGCACCAGAACGACCAGACACAGGAACAGTTTCTTCTTTCAGGCCTTCTACCTCACAAACAGCTGGCACATCAACTATCAACTAGATGATGGCAGTGCACCTGGTGCTTAAAGCCTTTCTTCCAGATCACCACATCTTTGTCTGGTTTGACAACATGACAGTTGCTGCATACCACCAAAGAGGCCTGAGACTGCACCCTCTTAACAGAGCTCTCTTGTGGGCAGAGTGCAGCCTCTGATAACTGAGTGTATGTGACCAAGCCAGGGGTTAGGCATGTTGTCTCAGAGTGGTGTGACTCCAGGGGAATGGAGACTTCACCCCTAGATGGTTCAGATGATCTGGAGTGACTTCGGATGAGCAGAACTGGACCACTTTGCCTCAAGGGAGAACCCTTATTATCTGATATTCTTCTCATCGGAGAAGGATGCGCTGGCCCACAAATGGCTTAAAGCGCTCCTGTATGCCTTTCCTCCAGTGCTCCCTGTTCCCACAGAGCCAGTCATGGTTCCCCAGGTGCACTACCTGCTGACAGCAGTGCCCTGGCCTACTCCACTGTAGGGGATCTCCTCTCCCAAGCAGGTGGCTCACTCTGGCACACCCAGAGAATAACCTCCTCCTGGGCTTGCTTGAGCGGGGTGTCTATTAGTGACATCTGCGCAGCAGCTGGCTGGTCATTGCCCTCCATGTGTTCCCAAACTGTAAGCGCGGTTCCTGTCTGCTTGAGGAATAGACTACGGTGCAACGAATGCCACCAAAGTCTGTGACCTTTTAGCTTCTGTTGGCCCGATCCAAGAACATATCTAGGCAGCTTCCGTTGCAGTTTGCCACCCTGCTTAAGTTTTTCTTACACCAAACTCTACTGCAAGTAATACCACTGTCAGCACACCTCCTGGTTAAGGTTCTCGGTTCGGGACTACCATCCCTGGGCCAGGCTCACAGGACCTCTTCTTTGCCTATTGGCTGGGACAGTCCTGCGCTTATAACACATTATTGTTACACAGACACAATTAAATTAGGCTTCGGTATTTTCAGAGAAAGGAATTTCCCCATAGCATCGACTAATATGATGCAATGTCTGGTTCCCGTCTATCTCAGGCACTAAGGTTATGTTAGTAGCTGAAGCATTTATTTTGAGATAAAACGTGCCCGACCACACTATCCTGCTTATTATTGTAACAAACTCAAATCAATATTCCATGGTTATTTAGCTATGTGAGAAG